CGAGATCTATAGTTCTACTTCGATATGTCATGCTACATACGTTATCGGAATAAGCTTGCTACCTATTGTGATAAAAATTGATGTTTCAATATAGCTAGTCAAAATTTTATTACGCTATATCGAGACAACGAGTGACGAATCGAGAAAACGAGAAAAACGAGAAAAAATGCATGATGCAGCAAAAAAAAGAATGGCTTTTGTGTTTTTTTCTGTTCTTCACCTTGTCATGTATGACAAAAACCTTAACATGAATTGCTTGTGACGTTGTAGTAGGTGTTGTAGACGATATGAGATAAAACGTAAATTTCCTTTTTTCTTTCTTTTCTTATCAATAAATTCTTTTTGTGTTAAAGAAAAAAAAAATCTGGCACATGAGAGTAAATTTATAGGATGAGGGATAGTTTTATTTTTACTGAAAAAATATGTTTTACAACGGCCATTTAGTTACAGAAAGTTTCATAGTTCCGTCAAATTCATAACTAAAAGAATTTTTTGTTGTTGTTTTACGTACAGAATCAGAATGAGCAGATAAAATAGAGTATTTACTGATATTCCGAAGTAGGTTGAATGAATTTTGGGGAAACTATGAAATTTTTAATTTTTAATGAAAATAATCAAAAATGAGTGTAACCTATCTTTTCATTCATTTCTGACATTCACAAATCTAACCACTTCAGGAAAAACGTTCGTAGCTCCCGAACCATGAACTTTCAGGATGTCGCTTAGATCCAGTTTTGTAGAGAACACTTCGGGTTATACCTATGAAAAGAATCCATAGATTTCTATGTCAGTTTTCAGAGAATCGGGCTGGGTTTCCACATATCCTCTAAAAAATGGGTCTTTAAAATTTTTCCAAAATTCGATTTTGTTTATGATGGTATAGCTTTAGGTCTTGGCTAGCGAATGATGGAATTCCCAAGTCTCTGTCTTTTATTCAATAAATAACCACGGGTCTTGTATTTTGGCACCGGTAGTAGTAACTTTCGCTCAGCAAACGTCGAGATAAATTTGAAAAGCACCATAGTTATGATTCAATCTTGAGAAGTGGTCACCCATCCTCTTACCAATCGTAGTTTTGACACAATGGAGAAAGGCATTACGTCACAATTCTCTGTTTTTTAGTGACTAACCTTATAATAATTATGCTTGGATTATGAGGGTTCATAAAATAATATATGTTCAGTATCGTATTGGTCATCATGGCGAAAATTGTGAAAAATTACCCAATAACCACTAGTCTTGCATTTTGGCTCCGATAGTAGATATCGTTTATGTTAAAGTATGACTCACTTCTGATAGAATGGAAGGAACTACTTAACGGAGAGGAGCAGAATTTTGTGCAATGGTCAGTGATATTGTGCTCCATACTCATTGTGTGAAAGTTATCGTTCTTTGTTCGATAAGAAGAAGGAATAATAATACCCTCAAACGATGTGGACTGAGTTGTATTCCTTGTGGTGCCTTAACTCTGTCTTTCTCGAAGGAAACCATTTGACGAGACACTTGAGAAAAGTCGAAATGGGTCTTGGTATCTTTGATTCTTCAGAAATGAATTCTGTTTGAGTCTCTAGTAACTAATAAGCGGTTGTAAAACTAAACTAAATTTAAATTGTATCAAACCGAGTTTCAAATTTCATATGGAAGTAGAGAAACAGGTTGGTAAAATTATAATTTTTTGTAATGTCTCATAGTCAAATTGAAATGCGAAAGCAAGAGCTAAACGAAGTGTTTTTCTCACTAAATGGCCCATGAGATTTTTGAAAGGTTATAACGAATATTTCTTTATCTTATTTTTACTTCGAATAAAGCGGCTGCGCCACAGCTCTCAGCGTCTCAACAGGTTTGGTTCCGGACAAAAATGCACTTTACTCATGTGAATTTCTTTCCATATGAAACTTCGTGAAATTGAAGTAGCGTCATCTCTATGAAAACTATAACGAATCCAGACCTATCAATAAAAGTCGAAGTTGATCCAAGGCAAGGATACAAGTCGTTAAACTAAAGAACTGGCCCATTAAAAAGAAAAAGAGTAGAATGATTAGTCAAAAGAGTTGTTGTGTCAAATTAACATAAGAAAGTAGACGAAACCAGCTCACTATCCTTGAACGTCTCGAAATTATTGTTAAGTTATATTGTAGGCTCATTTATTTTGTGAATATTTCCAGTTCTTTACATAAGACTTATGAAGAATTTTGGAGATATAGTATACATTTTATTGTTTTCGGAATTCTTTTGTGTTCGCTTTCTAAAGTGAAGAAAAGTAGAAAAAGGTAAGGGTAGCGGGAATAAATTTTAGGCTATGATGTGAATAGTTATTTATAGCTTCAACCGCTCTTTATTTAATAAAGTCGAAAAAGTTGTAAGGTGGTCTTTATCAACCTTATTTTTGTATTTAACCTGGTGTGTCTTGTAGAGAAATTGATCTTCTATGGTCTGACATAGGTTTTAGAATTTCGTACATTAATTACTATCTACTTAAAATATTAAAATTATAAAAAGCTGACTAATTTTAGCTTAAAATTCTTTCCTCCAATGTTTGGTTCTTGATCTTTGTGACGTTTGATATTCGGGATTAGTATGGAAAACTGTGTCTAAAGCTTTTATTTGACACAAAAATTTATCTTATTTCTATCTCTCTTATTTAACAACTTACCACATGCTCGTTGACCGTTAGCTGATCAAATCGTGTAAGCGTCCTCGATTAATGGTAGAACTATATACTCCTAATGTTGTTTACAACGAGACCACTGCTGGAAACCGGAAATTTATCATTCTTAACATTTTTAAAACATTATTTCTTTTTCTCACCTTAAAAGACTTTGCTTGATATAGTTCTTTTCGTGCGAACACCTACTGTATTGCGAATCGTAAACAGCATTTATCGTCATCTTTTTCCCGAATGACTATCATACTTGTTTCTTTCAATGCTTATAATAACTAGAGTTTAAAAATCGGTCCTGCAATAACCTGAAATCATCAGATTTGTTGTACCTTTTTTCAATTTCTTAAAAGCTTCTGGGCAGGTTGAGACATCTGACGTGAACATTTTCATTGAGTTGTGTAATTCGAAAAAGCAAATTGCACAACTCACTGTAATTTGAAAAAATATCTACGCAAGTCAGTTTTTCTTCTTCTTTCTCAACAGAAATACTTTTTCTTTCTGTTGGAATTGCGTCATTTGTATATTGCACAAAACTTAATAAAAACAGCTGATTAGCAACTTATTTTTCACGTAGAGTGTTGTAGGCTAGAAGTGAGACTCAGTAGAGTTAATATAACACAAACTCGAGTTATTTAATAGATTTTACTAGGCTCTTGTTTATTGAAGGTGTGCATATTGCTTTTCTTGAGCTTTTACTAGTTGTTGTGAAGGAAAATTGATGGAATAGACTAAGAATCGAACCCAGGTCATCGGCGTACCGTGCCACTGTTTCAGCCACTGAACTGTCTGGTCCATTCACTATCTGTCATATGACTCCCCTCTCAGATGCCAGCACGTCCTTGTGCTGCTCTGTTTTAACCTAGGTCCATTACCGACTGGAGATGTTATACGCAGTAGTGCCACTCGAGATATCGTCATATGTAACGGGAATTGATTCTTTTTCGAGTTTATTTCTTAACACAATTCATTATAATATGGCTGTACAAATTTTGAAAGTGAGTAGAAGCAGTGAACCGTATCCTGAAGGAGAGAAAGAGTTCATGGAAAATGTACAGTAAAATAGCTCGAGAAGCAGAACAGCGAGACAAGAAGTCATAAACTATGGAAAAGACGACGAGATGTAGAGGATGATCCATAAGGTCAGTAGATATACGTCATGAGATGAATCGATGTAGAAGAAAAGAACGAGAAAGGGGTGAGAAGATAACGGAAGAATAGCATTATTCTTCACGGCAGTGTGATACGTTCGGTACAAAGTAGATCACTATTTCATGCACGACGATTATAACCTGTATATTGTTTTCTGTTATTTAAGAGTTAAGTTCATTCCTACCCATGGAGGAGAAACGACAAAATGTTGAGAATAAGATGACAACGGACTGGTGGTTGAATTACTTTGTATCCGGTGGTGAACTAAGTCCGAGTATGTCGGATTTGGTGATTACTCGCGAGCAACTTTCCTTCGCTGAAGAAGGCATTGATTTGTTCCACATACTGCACAATGTAAAAACGTTTGTTCCAACTTTCTTCGAACACCCGCATATACTCGAATTATTGAACATGAAAGAAGAAGAATATTATAGCACTAGACTTCCTGTTTACACACTCACCTGGTTCGGATATGGGACGAATTTGTGGAATATTCTATTGACGTGCTATCAGTGTCAAATCCCCATGTGGTTTTTGGAAAAGTACGAAAATCTCATCGTGACATTTGAGTGTAGTTATTCGTTGCCACGTTATTGTACGCTGAGTGCTGAGTTTATCGACAGACATGCAGCAACATTTGCCAGTTGGTATGGCGGAGTTTGGACTAATCTTTTCGTCATTGATCAAAACCTGCCAATCTGGCTAATTGAAAAGCATGCTGACTTAATTCCATGGGAAGATCTCTATCCACATTCTGGACGAGAATCCCAAAATGATATATTTTGTGAAAGTTTTGCTCGTAAACATGCAGATCGTCGAATCTGGCAGAATATTGGCCATTTTGCGGTATCAAATGAATTTGTAATGGAACATATCGAAAAAATGAATCTTTTCAGAGATTTGGACGAAATTTGTGCACGTGACGGCAATAGACATTCAATATCAGGAACGACAAGTTGGAGTAGTTTACTGGATAATGGAACTACTTTGACGCAATCTGTGTTTATAGATATGTTGGAGAAAGGTGAAATGTCTATCATTACTGCATGCGCATGGATCAAACATCGACAGTTAGAATCTCATATTTTGAAGCAACTATTATCCAAGTATGAAAATAACAAAAGTAACCATCGTGGATATAAACAAATTCTCAGTAAAGCTCTAGAACATCAAAAGTCGATGACAACGTCCGAAATGTTACATACATACACAGCGTCAATGAATAAGAAATTAATGAAATCTTTACTAAATAACCCTAGTTTCAATCTTGATACGTTCAAAACAGAACTAATAAAAAGTCATGATTGTGGTGTATGTTGTGAATTTGCGGAAAAATTGACTAAACAGATTCAAAACAAACGTATTTCTGATAAAGAGTAGATAATCCCGATATTTGAGTTATGATCCGTCGTTTATCTACCAACGATTAATTGATCTGTTAATGAGTATTAATAATTCAGACAAAGCTTGGCTTCGTCGACTTAGTCCAATAATTCAATGTCAACATTCTACACTTGGGGTTTTCGTTGAAAGTTTAGAAAATGAAGAGCAATTTATTTATTGTCAAATAGTTAAACTTAATTCTGGCCAGAACGTGGAACTAAATAAAAAATATTTAAGTTATACTATTTACTATTCTACGTTTAAACGTCTTCATCACTTAATTATGTTTATTTAAGTCTAGGCATGCATTGAGTGTTTCTACCCTATGACTCTTTTACACTTCTCAGCCGGACTGCTTATAACTTTTGATACAGAAGATGAACTTCTTTCATGATTTGGTATATTATACCGTTAGTGCTGTAGTACAAATGTATGATCAGAAATTTTAAAAGAGTTCCGTTTTCGCAAGGTTCTCAGCGGGTTTTCTAGAGGATCCTTGGAAAACTAGTTTGTATCTCTGAAAACTGACATACAAATAGGTCAATTTTTTTCCACAGATAGATAGTCCAGAGTGTCCTCTCCAACACAAAAACTAAGCAAACTCTTAGGTTTTCGTGGTTTAAGTGTGGAACTAGGTTTCCTGAGAGTCCCAGGATCACTATTTCCTTATATGCGGTAACTCCGACAACAAAAACATAGGTAGTCGAATATGCTGAACTTCATGGCGACATTTGTTGATTGACAAGTTTCTGAAAAACTGGTTTCCCAGAAAAACAGTCTCTGGAGATCTATATAACTGCCATGGTCATATTTGCAATCAGTATAGTCGTTAACCTATAATCTACTAGGTCTCATTGAAAAAACGATTTGACGGTTAAATCGGTTTCCTCGTAAGAGTTCATTTAGTCTCTGTGTTGGAGAGGGCACTCTGGACTATCTATCTGTGGAAAAAAATTGACCTATTTGTATGTCAGTTTTCAGAGATACAAACTAGTTTTCCAAGGATCCTCTAGAAAACCCGCTGAGAACCTTGCGAAAACGGAACGCTTTTAAAATTTCTGATCATACATTTGTACTACAGCACTAACGGTATAATATACCAAATCATGAAAGAAGTTCATCTTCTGCATCAAAAGTTATAAGCAGTCCAGCTGAGAAGTGTAAAAGAGCCACGCTAAAGATTTAGACCCCGGATATGAAAAACCACCAAGCTTTTGTGATAGACATAGTCGATTTTCTCTACTCTATCTAAAACTAATGTTGGATTTTGTCCAATCTTTTAAAAATCCTCGAAGTTTGGTCAGGCTTGGCGAAAGGGCTGGAAAAACTGCATATCCACTAGGCCTGGTCAAGCTTCAAGGGTTTTTAAAATACTGGACAAAATCCAACATTGCTCTCAGGTAAAGCAGAGAAAATTGACTATGTCTATCTCAAAAGCTTGATGGTTTTTCATATCCGGGGTTTAAATCTTTAGCATAGGGTAGAAAAGCCTAGTGCATGTCTATTTAAGTCGACTGAGTGGAACTCACGGAGACTGGTCATCTCTGAACGTACTGATGAAAAGATCATTTGAAAGTAGAAAAGTCAAAGATAATACGTCCGAAGCTACTTTTGCGATATCTGCTTTAGTTATCCTATAATGAGTTCTACAAAATGAGTATATTTTAGAAAACTCTATCGTTTTTGCTATGAGATAATTGATTGTCACATGATTAATTCAGGTCAATATGAACAGTGTAGAGTAGTCATTAAGTAGTCACGTGCTGCTTATCAGCCTATACTTCTGTATAGTCTGTCACATTACTACCTATAGAATGCATCAATATATTTAGTACTAGAGCACTGCAGTGTTCTAACCGTATTTAAGGAATTCAGATGGTGTCTAAAATGTCTCGAAGAAACGTTTCATTCGGTCAGGTTTTCAATGTTCCCGTAGGGTGGTTGGCATCTAGTTAAGTCGACTGAGTGAAACTCAAGGAAAGTTATTGCTTTTCACCCAGAAAAATTCTTTTTTCTTGTTTTTCACACTGTGTTTTCTTCTTCGAGTCAGACACTCGTTCTCGGTCATCTCTAATAGTACGGATTTCGGGAAAAGATCATTCGAAAGTAAAGGAGCTGTATATGACACATCTGAAG